ATTACAAGTTGTAATGACATTTATTCAATAAATCACGATTACTTCAAGCTGTTTCTGTCTTAGCGATACACAAATTCTTCAATGTATGCACGCGATGCACAGATGAATTGTGACTTATCACGTGTGTATTCTTTTCCTAATTTTTTTTCATCGAATATGTACTATATCGAAATACATTCAGAGAAATGGGACTGATAAGTAAATTATAATAAAAAAAATACTTTTGTCCACGTAAAGAAAGCTACTAAGTAGCATCATCCTGGAGAGAATGAAGAATGCACTGGATACAGAACTCCGCTAGCGCCACTGGAACAAGCTGACTGGATTCAGGAAAGGCGAATCAGCTTCTCATCAAATTGCAACTCTGCGCACTGTCATCACAAAACAATGCATTGAATGATGTGCAAACCTCTCTTTCTCCTTACTTCGAAAAGGCCTTCGACAGACAGCGTTAACCGAGAAGTAATTTGGAAACAGCTTCAACACTACGGCGTTCAGTGCTCGGGCGGTTGAAACCAATGAAAGCTAGAGACAATTGGTGATATGTCTCAAAATTGTTCACAGTGGCGTAGATGTATCCACTCCTTGTGATTTATAATTTCCAATACCACTATATCGGATTGTGAGGGCGATTGTGAATTCCGGGCTGCCCACACCGTGGAGGTTGGTTGCGTGACCGCAGAGCCCAGGGGACAACTACTTGAGCCAGGCCGGTCACACGCGGCCTGTTTTTGTTCGTTCTCTTTTGTTTGGTGTGTCTCAGTAGCATATTTATCACTCCTGCCCTGTGACACGGCAGCAGGAAGTGCGGTCGTTGTTAATCCGGGCCACGGCCGATCCGGAATGAAATTTTGTGATTTTGTATTTATCATGATGTTGGATTGGGTAGCTGCTTTTTGTTTAACCGCTATCCAAACAACCTTCCTGGCATGGTAGGACCTCAAGAGACATAAGTCTCAGCCAGTATAGCTTGAATAGATCATTGCGGTGTTCAAGCCCGACCACCACGTCAAGGTAGCAGCTTTCGGTCAGGAAACAGCTGCCAAGTACTCCAGTGCTGGCTTTCAATGGGTTCTCTAACTGATATCAATCCGTGATCAACTCGTTAAAAACAAAAGTAACCCATACAAACCAACTATAGAAAAAAAATACATCAAAAATAAACTCCCAGAACATTACACTGATCGTTACTAAATACAATAACAATTTCTTCATCAGATTGTTGTTTATTTTCTCGTATCTTCATCCCACATATATTAAAAAATCTTCAATTTATACACACAGTTATGCATAAGGTGAATTATGACTTATCACGTGATTATTCATTTCAACAATTTTTTTTCTCTGAATTCATATAAAGCAGTCATATGAGTAGCGATCATTTATTCCCGAAAACGTTGTTAACAATGTACGCCTAAAACTATTTACTTTTTTTTAAAAGTTAATTTTGATTTTATTTTATTGACTGATTATGTTGACGCGAAATGTTCTCTTGGCTCTGGTGTATAGTTCGAGTCTCAGTGAGCTTACAAATACTGGTGAATCCAGATGACGCGGCTAAAATAGGACGAAACCATAATTATTCCCTTGTCTTTTGAGTGAAAACATAGCGTTTCAATTTTGAACTCCTTGAAGTTTCGACAGTGGTGGTGTTGTTGTTTTTACTGGGTGGAGGGGCGGGGTATTAGCCTCACGGTACTCTGCTCAACCTTCCCACTTTTAGGGGATTAATACCGGGTAAGTGAGGTTTAGGAGTGTGCATCGGCCGGGAACTGAACCCCGGACCATGTGTGGCAAGGTCGGCGAGTATTCTATCACTGAACCATTACTTCTAATCACTACTAGCTGAGTTAAGCACGCCTAAAACACTTATGATAATGAATTCAGCTGATCCAAATAAGAACCAAACGATCAATACCGCATCAGTACGATGCTTACACGGAGGAGAATGTGTAAAAATGAGGAAATGAAAGTTAATAGTCAGTCAGGCAGACAACAGGGTGAAATGAAGACATCCTTTCTTATGACTGTAAGACATGGCCCTTGAGAGTGGATGATACGAAATGTCTAGCTGTCGTTGATCATAGGTGTCTGTGTTCTATCTCTCGTGTAATGACGTATAATAAGGTGAGTAATATTGAGGTTAAACATCGACTGCTAGGTAAAGAGAGGAAATCAATCGATGAGGTTGTTAAGTTACATCGATTGAGAGATGGCTAGGACATATTTTACGCATGTATGCCTAGCCATCAAACTCCTTCCTCGACAGACAGACAGGCAATGTAAGCTGGCTGACACAAGTTGATCAGATTGGAAGAGAGCCAGAGGTAGTCAAACCAAAACATGGCTTCATCAGTCAATGAAATCCACAACAGTTATTTGAAGCTACATTGGAAGGTGTAGAGTGACTTCCTGGTTGGGGGGGGCCTCGGAATGGTGAAAACCAATGAAAGCTGGAGATGATTTTTGGTATGGCTCAAAATCGTTCTCAATGGGTGGCGCAGTAGCATTCACTCTTTGTGATTTGTATTATTCAGTAAAATTCTATTGTTCTTCCATATTACTATTCTTTTCGCCTCACACTCCTATTTACTATCTCTCTTCTATTAATCTGTGTACTACATGGAGGGAATGTGGCAGCTCGACCTGCTACATAGCTACATATGATTCTTCCTACTATCAGTATGATGATATTGACTGTTTCTCGAATCTAACAGCGAATTCCACAGAAGAAGAGTGTCCCACCTATTTAGACTGACTTCTAACTTACAACAATGCACACTTGTATCGATAGGAGACAATGGCCAGGAAACAGATTGTTTATTAAGAAAAGCAAAAGATTTTTATGTAGATTATTGTCAGTGGAGAAGCAACCTCTTCTGATTGGTTGTTTCCTTGCTGAAGGTTATCATCTGTCATCTCTTTGTGACCATTTCTCAGAAAGTTAAGCCACATATCCGCGAATTCTATTCGCATACGTTAAGTCTGCTGTGATTGGCTGATGAGTACATCAACGTTAGGCTTTGTTATTTCTTTGTTTTCTCATTACCCAATTCGGGACATATATATTGACGTAAATTGTTGTCTACAATTTCGGTTTGCAGACACCTACGTCCACACACTTATTCACGGTAAATTTCAATGCTTAGTATTCACATAATCGCCCAGAAAATGTTTAAAACACAACCTAGTCCTCCCTCTCCTGTTTGTTTTGTTTTAACTTAACTGATTAATCGATCGACAGTGTAAAAAGAACACAAAACAAAACGCCAACGCTAACGCCAACAACAAAACAAAAATCAGAAAATTGTTTAACTATTGATTTAATCTTTATTTCTAACGAAATATGCCATTTGTTGTTGTATGTGTATGTGATGATGATATGAAGTGTTGAACTAATGCAAATGATTGACAGGCACACACTCAAACATCACACACACACACACACACGGGAGTACACAAAACAGGAGAATGAATGAATGCATGAATGAATGAACACGATATGAGAAAACAAAACCATTAGGCAAATACAAACACACACATACACAAAATAACACAAACACCTTGACAAGTTGTCATTGTTTGAGTTATTCCTCTAGGCTGAAACAATCGGGGGTTTATACATGTATATTTCGCCGCCAGATTGGTTGGTTGGCTGTGGTTGAGAAACATTACACATATGACATACACACAAAGAAGAAGCACTTGTGCACCAACCTGCTATACACATACACACACACTCAACCAACCCCTTCCCCACACATCATGAAATTCAACAACAATAATAATAGTAATAACAATAGTAATAATAATAATAATAATAATAATATTAACAGTCCGTTAACCCAGGGAACCACGATACAAAAAGAAAATGGGGCGAGGGGAGGGGAGGGCGCGTAAAATATCACAATTAAATAAATAGAATAAAAATAGAAGTATAAATGTACCATATAACCACCCCCAACCCCTGCACCCCTAATAATATGCACAAGGGGAGAGAGAACAAAGCAAAGAACATCTTAACGAGTATATGATATAACTAACAATAAGTTATATATATATATATATATATATATATATATATATATATATATATATATATATATGTTTATGTATGCACAATATCCGTGTATCAATGGGATTGAATCCGCACAAGAGATCACCGATCTGATCCGAATCCAATCCAACTCGATCATATTTATGAATGTATATAATTTGTATTCGCAAAAAGTGGTATTATAAATAAGGAGTATGAATTATTATTAGTATTATTATTATTATTCTCGATGATATGAAAATAATAATAATAATACTATAATAATTGATTGATTAAAATAACTCATTGACACAGTCTACGGTGCAATGAGTGAGTACAACACACATATGACTGAAAAACACAATGTGAAACTGAGTAGACACAGACAGAGAGAGATAATTGTGGAGTACACATTATATGGAGGATATATGGGGATAGAAGTGTCAGTGTGGTGTAATGTGGTTTGGATGCAGAGGATGCGGAGAAAGAAAGAATGAAAGAAGACAAACTAATAATAATAATAATGACTTCGTGAAGATATGTAACTCTTCTCTGTGCCTCCCTCCTTCTCTTTGTCTCTGCATATCATGTATAGAAATCCCACAGAAAGAGGGGAAAATGGAGCAGAGCACGCGGAAAACAAATAAAATGTGCACACAGTCCATGTATACATATAAATCTTTAATTTCTTGCAAAAAATAGCATAACAGAAACAAGGCACAATATAGGTTGAATAACAATCAAGAGAACAAGAATATAAGGTGGCAATAATACTTTGTGGAGTACACACTTCAATACTACACACCCACCCCCCACACACACATATACACGGATAAACAAACACAATTTACAACTATACATGAACGAACAGCCGTGTGTACGTGTGTGCGTGCAATCCGATAATGAGGTAAGCCCATACACATTACTATTATTAATATTATTATTATTATTATCACAAGTGTTATTATTGTTCTTTTAGAGAAGATAATAATTTACTCTTAGACATGTCAAGATTGCCATTTGCCATAGATGATGTCTTCAATGATTGAGATGACGACGACGATGGTAAAAGAATCTTCACAAATGATCGAATCAATGGCCAAAATATATACCAGAAGCCAACGAAATAAGTGGATTTTAGAACCTGGAAAAAAGAAAAAAAGAAAAATAATTGATGGTCACAATAAAAATAATAATTTTCTAAAATTTGGTTTATAAGGGTTAGTTATGTTTTTACGAGTTGATCACGGGTGGATATCAGTTAGAGAAGCATTGAAAACCAGGGAGTACTGGACAGCTGCTGTTTCATCCTAGTTTGTGAATCGTTCTCAGTACGCACCCACTCTCAGGGTTCGAAACCAGGACCTTCCGGTTACAAGGCCAACAAGCTCGTATAGCATTCAGCCACTGGGACGCGATTCAGTGACCAGCCCATGAATTCTAACTTCTACAAATTCGTGAGTTAGCGCGACCCCAACCATTGTCGTTGGTGGGACATCCATCCACACACGTGACATCTAATTGGACCTCACTGGTCACGACTTCTCACTAGAACTCCAGGAAACTGCATCCCGTAACAAGTAACTAGCAAGCATCAGATTAATGGTTGGGTCGCGCTAAATCACGAATTGGTAGAAGTTAGAATTCATGAGCCATTGAATCGGGTCCCAGTGGCTGAATGGTATACGAGCTTGCCTTGTAACCAGAAGGTCCTGGGTTCGAACCCCTGTGGTAGGTGTGTACTGATGATGAGTCCTAAACTAGGCTGACGAAACAGCTGCCTAGCAGTCCTCCAAAGCTGGTTTTCAATGGTTCTCTAACTGATATCAATCCGCGATCAACTCGTAAAAATAATAATAATAGCTTTTTCTGGAGAAAATGTTGGATGTGAGACATCACCATTAAAAGTGGGCAATATGATGAAAAGGCTGACTGCCTATTTGACCACGGATGTTTGAGTTCCGTCTCTCGTGTTAAATGATATAATATTATGAGTAATATTAAAGTGAGGGGTAGCGTATTAGATAAGAAAGAGGAATCACAGGCTTTCATTACGAGCTGACACTAATTACAGAAGCATTTGAAAACTATCAGGGAGTACCGCCAAACAGCTTTTTCGTCAATCTAGTCTGGGATTCTTCACCAGTATGAACTCATCCACCGCCAGGGTTCGAACTCAGAACATTCTAGTTACAAGGCTAGTGAGCTCGTAGATCATTCATCAGCCACTGGGATCCGAATCAATGACCAGCCCATGAATTTCACCTTCTGCCAATTCATGAAATAGCGCGACTGCTTCGCAATGTCTTTTTCGATGAGTTATTATTGCTCCACCTACTAGAATAGGGTCAGCCGCTAGTAAGCATCAGAATAATTTTCAAATAATGGTTTCGTAGGAGATTCTTTGTTTGATTGGTTCGAGGATTTCATTATGAGGAGACATCGGTTAGAGAATCATTGAAAACACCTGGGAGTACTACCAGATAGCTGTTTCGTCAGCCTAGCTTGAGACTCTTAAGCACTACGCACCCACCAGAGAGCTTCGCAATCGATGGGATTGTGACCGAGGGTGAGTAGACTTCGGTCTTTCTCTCAGAAAACTCTCATGTGACCACGTATTCACAGGTAAGTCTTCCAGGTAAGCCTACACGCATCTCATGGGTGTTCCTCACAAAGGTGAAGGGGCGAAATCGAATGCCTGGAGCTGACAACAACAATGACCGCAATGTGGACATGCTAGTCTACACAAACACAGGGGGAGCTGGGAAATCCTGATTCAAAACCTACGGTATACATAGGCATTAGTATCTAAACAGATCGGATGAAAAATATGAACGTGTTTTGATCACCGCTGACCTGACTATGAGGGAGGCAGCTACACTGCTTAGTAGATCAAGCTTCAATTCAAAGGACAACCCCTTCTTTTAGTCTAGGAGTGTCCATCCAGCCTTTTTACACAGTACGAGAGTACGTGTGCCGCATATTTTAATGGTTATAGTGTTGTCTTTTCAGAATATCAACTGACATAGGATTAGGTTGGAAAAAAGTTAGTGGCGGCTAAATCAAAGGAAGGTTTCATGTGCTTTTGGAAGTGTGTGGGCGGTTGTTACTTCCCGGCTACCCACACTGTGGAAGTTGATTGATTCTTCAGGTACCTAAAACAGAGAGAGGGTTAGTGTCGCGTCACCGCAGAGCCCAGGGGACAACTGCTTGAGGCCCGTCGGTCACATACGGCCTGTATGAAATGATTTCTTGGTTTGGTTCCGTATTAGTAAACTTACCGCCGGTTACGGACCATCGTAAGGTAAGTCGGGATGTACAATTCTTGGGGTCGACCTTTTCTAACCCCCTCTTTTTCTCCACAGTGGAAAGACATCATAGCTGGCTGGCATGCTGGTCATCTGAGGGAAACAGCTCACTGCTGTTACACCCCTGTACCCCAGTAGCAGTACGACTTCGCCCTCAGACCCCCAGCATAGTGTAAGAAAGATTCTTGCACAATTCCGGTAGCTGCTTTTAGTCTAATCGCTATCCTAACAACCTCCCTTGAATGGTAGGACCTGCAGGAATATTGGTTCTATCGCGATGTGCAAACCCGACCACCACGTCAACGTAGCAGCTATCGGTTGAGGGCTAAACCAAAACTTAGTATCAACCTACGAAGTCATTGACAGTTGGTTTTTAGCCGTATAGGAAGGGTTATTTAATACTAGTTAATTGTTACAGGGCTCTCTCTGTTGCACATACATATCAGGGAATACAGTATACTGTGTATAATGAATGCATAGCCAAAAATAAATAATCTATACAGACTAAACAGTAGGAGGATATGATAATATTGACATTCTGAAGGATATCTTCATCACAAATATACTACACAAGAATTAAAACAAAAAAACTAACACACTTACAGGATACCATAGATGAAATTGTAATAAATAGAAGGCTACCAGTGGAGTTGCCAAAAGGAAATAGACATGCAGTTTACCAATTATACTACTGATAATACGACCAGGTATTGTTTTATACAAAAAGTGATTGTACTTGGAGTTTTTCAATATTGTCAAAAACTGAAAGAAAGCGCAATAGCGAAAAGAAAAAGCGCACAAAAGGAATGTACAAACTTGTGTAATACAGAATAAATCAATGAATAATTATCAATATTTTATTTAGTCCTTTTAGTTGATCTGTTAATCCACGGTATAAAATGAGAACACTATGACATAAAGCTTATAATACAAAAGTTGATATTCGTTAAAAAAAGACAAGTGAATTACTGGGACCCGATATAATGGCCAGACAGCCAACCAATGAATTCTAACTTCTGCCAATTCACGACATAGCATGACCACTTCGTAATGTTTCCCTTCTATGAGTTACTGTCTCGACTTCAACCTGCTGTACCCTACTGGTTACGACTCCCCACTAAAACCCTTGGTCAATTAGATTCAAAATCAGTGGCTGAATGATAAATCTGTTTGTCTGGAATCCTAAAGTTCTTAGGCTAGATCTATATGGAGACTTTTCCAGGATTACTTTTTATGCAGACCTTTTCATCAGGTCATATTTCTGATGTATAGTTTTGCCTAGTAGGGAAGCGTAGCTATTATCAATCGCCATTATCCACATTTTACAGAAATAATAGAAGTAAGACCAGAAAGATACATTCTGAATTGCTTTGTAGACTATGAATAATTCAAATAAATCTTGTCTGTGAAATACTTTTCTTTATTAAAGTTCTGATACTTCAGTTATCTGTCACTTGTTCAAACTACTTGGTTGTCAGTAAATGTGTGACGTAGCTTCTTTATTCCCGAATAGTTTCGACTATGACTATGAAAAGAAGCTTTTGAGCTTCTCTCTGATTCAAGCGTCAAATTTCTAGACCGTGCTCTGCTGTCCTAGTAACTTAAGTACCTGTCTGGCCTGTGATATCATTCGGTACAGTCTTTCCAGAGTGTCTCTGGTCCATCCTCATATTCTTGAAATATTTTTAAGTGTTGGTTTTGTAGGGATTTTTTGTTTCATTGGTTGAAGGATTTCATCATGAGCTGATATCAGTTAGAAAACCACCAGGCACGGAGTACTGGACAGCCAGCTGTTTCGTCAGCCTAGTTTGGGACTAACCCTTCAGCAGTACGCACTCACCACAGGGGTGCGAACTCAGGATCTTCTGGATACAAGGCGAGCTCGTAGACCATTGAGCCACAGGGACCCGATCCAATAGGCCAGTGGGTGCGTACTGATGAAGAGTCCCAAACTAGACTGAAGGAACAGCTGGCTGTCCAGTATCCCCTGCCTGGTGGTTTTCCAATGGTTCTCTAACTGATGTCAGTTTCATGATGAAATGGTCCATCGAATCAAACAAAATCCCTACAAAAGACATACTTGACAAGTGAATTACAAGTATTCCACCACGAGGTTGTTACACATCACAGTTCGAGAGTCTTCACCACCCCCCACTGGAGGTTGAACACAAGAACTTTATGCTACGAAGCCATTCGAGTAGAATCCTATAAGGCAGCCAATGAATTCTAACTTCTGTCAATCCACGATCAATAATATGTATACATCACAACCGCTAGCCAAACTTCATCTGTTGGCCATATACCCAACTTGATGAACTGCTGGTGGTCACGACTGCCCACTGAAACTTCAGGCTAATTCAACGTGTAGTGAAGTACTAGATAAAAATTCTATAGGTTTCTCTAAGAGGATTGCATACCAGTTGACAGGACTTACTCACTGTTTGATGATATTTTCTAAAAACACTTGCTATTAAAGCAACTGACTAGAAGATCTGTGTCGAAAATGCCAACCGTATACATTCCCACAAAAATCCGTCTAAATTTAGTCTACACAAAAGGCTTTTGATACTAACACAACAGCTGACGTAGGGATTGAAGTTGTTACAAGTGTGAGATTCTAAATTCATGAATGACAGTTCTATGTAGATTTATGAGTTAAATACTGAGCCTCATTCAGTAGTAGAAGTAAACTCAACCAATCACAGCAGACTTTGTTTGCGTAGGCGGATACAATTTGCAGATAGATAATCTGAACTTCAAGAAACGGCCACAAAAAGATGAAAGATTAACGTTCAGCGAGAAACCACCAGTCAGAAAACTGTGTTTTTCCGCTAACAATAATCTACAAGATGTACATGAAAATCTACAAATGTGTTGATTTCGTAAATAAACGATCTGTTGGCTGGCCCTTGTCTTCTGTTGTTACAGTAGTAGTGTAAAAACAGAAGACAAGGGTCAGGAAACAGATCGTTTATTAAGGAAATCAACACATATTTATAGATTTTCATGTACATCTTATAGATGATTGTTAGCGGAAAAACACAGTCTTCTGATTGACGGTTTCTCACAGACAGTTGACCTTGCATCCCTTTGTGACTGTTTCTTTAATGTCAGACCATCTATATGTTAACTGTATCCGCCTACACAAAGCATTTGTTCTCATTTTTCTCACGACCAATGTATTGGGGACATAAACATTGGCGTAAATTACTGTCCACAATTTTGACTAACAGCCAGCCCTCACCACAGTAGTAAGTAAGCAGTAAATTCTAGCTTAGCAAGCTATGAGCGCTAGAAAATCAGTTGCCCAGCTTCTCACTTCACTCATTTCATCAGTAGTCTCATGACCAGCCAAACCTTCCCTATTCACTTGCCTTACTACCACCAGCTAAATAACTTTTGGAATGTGTGGACTGGGAATTGAACCCAGAGGCACATGTGTGTGGTTGTTGAACGAACATTCATTTTACCAATGGACCACACTGCCGATGCACAGAAAAAAGAGGGTAACTGCATCATGCCTATTTCAAATAGACATTTTGATTTTCATCAAGAAAACGTTTCACCAGGCATACGTTAATTTGTTCTATGCTGGGAAATGAGAGCGTCAGTTCGGTGTATGAGGGAGGTAGGGAGATGCTTGTCTCAACCACATAAGTGATACGAGATCCGAATACTTGCTGACGTACTCTCGAACCTTTCCATGTTTACAAGCCGAATATTAAGTGTGACAAGGAGGGGAGGTTAAGCTTCCCGTACTGAAACTTTAAACCTGAAGCCCTATGTTCCATTCGGAACACAGAGGAATGAGGAGGGGGTATGGGATATAACGACAGTATTTCTTTAACAAGATTTTTAATGTCTTTCTCATATGAACACATAAAAATACAGAGGGTATTTTTCAGATGTTCTCGTTTTCGGCTTCACTTATGCGTAAAAATGAATTAATTGCTTTGAGTATAAAACTTGGGTACTGTGGTGGTAGAGTATAACTCCATTATACATAAAATTTTATTTTGATAAATCACACAGTGTAGTGTGTTATACAGTAATGCGAACTGATGACCACGTTTCGGGCACAAACTATTGCTACTCATAATCATATCAAGGTACTCACCCACATAACTTTCTTCCTTCATTTATATACATGAGTGGAATTGATGTGATTAGACCTTTGATTGAATCAAAATCAATATAGGAGAATGTACATTCAGAAATAATAATAATAATAATAATATGAGTGTTATCAATCAAATACAGTCAGATTGGAAATAAGACGAGTGTTTTTATAGTCAAAATAAATAAGTAACTTGCCCGAATGTTGTAATGCGCGTGAATTGAATTGAAATAGAACACAATTTAAGATTATTTATTATCCTCTTCTGATTTGACTGACTGACCGGTGGTAATAATATCTTCGATATCTCCCGTATTTGTATTGAGTCACTTCTATGGCATGTGTTGTGTTGGGTGTAGGTTGACTCTATGATCCAGGATTCAGTAATCAATCTCTCTCTCTCTCTCTGCCTACATAGATTACTTCTGAGAATCTCATCCTTCTCCCACCCTGTTGTGTGGTTGTGTGTTAATGCATGCATGTAGTGGAATCGGTGAGCTTTTTTCTAAATTACTTATCTTCACAGGGGCAATCTTTCTTACCTTAGCTAAATTCTTATGTTCCGAAAATGTAACTACCTCTGACCGGAGAGGACCGATCCACATAGGATTCTCAATAAAGCAGGAATTAGAGTGGTATTTAAACCTACAAACTCACTCAGGTAGGACAACCTCTGTAGGCTAAAAGACCCGGTGGACCCAATTAAACAAAATAATATAATTTACAAAATACACTGCAATGACTGTGAGTGAGGTCAACTACATAGGTCAAACTAATAGATCGGGTCATAAGAAAAGGCACAAACAGCGAAGAAAATTTTCTTTTCGACGATTCATTTTCATGAGCTGTACAATCGTAATTATAATTAAATAAGCTCATGATTAAATCCTCCATGCAATCAAACAAAATCCCTACAAAAATCAATACTTGAAAAAAAACCAATACATAAGTTTTTGACCAATCAGATACTGGTAAACTTTGTCCTTGAAAATTCTACTACATAGTGTGAGGTGTAAGAAGAGATGACTAATTGTAAGTTAGAAAGGAGACAGAAGTTGGCATGACCTAATAAGTGTGAGATAATGACTAATCAATAAGCTAGTGTAGAGATAGATAGATCGGGGCTAATCAGATTGTCGTAACATAAGAATTTAGCTAAGGTAGGAAAGATTGACGCCGTGAAGATAATTAATTTATTTAATTGCACTACATGCATGCATTAACACACAACCACACAACAGGGTGGGAGAAGGATGAGATTCTCAGAAGTAATCTATGTAGGCAGAGAGAGAGAGAGAGAGATTGATTACTGAATCCTGGATCATAGAGTCAACCTACACCCAACACAACACATGCCATAGAAGTGACTCAATACAAATACGGGAGATATCGAAGATATTATTACCACCGGTCAGTCAGTCAAATCAGAAGAGGATAATAAATAATCTTAAATTGTGTTCTATTTCAATTCAATTCACGCGCATTACAACATTCGGGCAAGTTACTTATTTATTTTGGCCATCAAAACACTCGTCTTATTTCCCATCTGACTGTATTTGATTGATAACACTCATATTATTATTATTATTATTTCTGAATGTACATTCTCCTATATTGATTTTGATTCAATCAAAGGTCTAATCACATCAATTCCACTCATGTATATAAATGAAGGAAGAAAGTTATGTGGGTGAGTACCTTGATATGATTATGAGTAGCAATAGTTTGTGCTCGAAACGTGGTCATCAGTTCGCATTACTGTATAACACACTACACTGTGTGATTTTATCAAAATAAAATCTTATCCATAATAAATTCATTGCTCAGATATGATTAAGTAAAATTAAAAAAATAGACCAAATAGAAATCTTACAAAAAACAATATGAGCTTACATCTTTTTCAACGATCACAACTAATAGCTCCACACTGAAATTGATGTAATACCCACTATAAGTCCCATGCCAAAGTGCCAGAAATAGTAATGTCAACAGTTGAGATAAATTTTTATTACCCAAGAAACGTAAACGTTTATAAACATATCTGTGTAGGCCAAAAAAGAAAAACACGATAGAAAAATAAGTTAAGATAATATTATGAGGGAAAATTACGTTAACATATTTAATCATGCTTAGCGAAATGATATATATATATATATATATATATATATATATATATATATATATACTGAGAAGAACGTCCTTTGCAGCAACGCTACGAATAGTGTTCTCCAGTCGCCCACTGATCTGCAGAAGCCTCAAGGACAAGATCCCGCATCTGGCCACTTCTATGTGCATATACCAGTTCACCTGCTGCTGTGGAGCCAGGTACATCGGTCGTTCGACGCGCATCCTGTCCAAGAGAATTCAAGAACATTATCCAGCATGGTTGCGAAAAGGCAATACTGGTGCAATAAGGAGTGCAATAATTGAACACCTGGTCAACACTGATCATTGCATTTCAACGAACGCCTCCTTCAAAGTAATCTACAGAGTCAAGAATAACATATCAAAGGCAATACGGTTTCGTCTCCTTTGCATCGCTGAAGCTCTGGCCATTCACATGGAAAAACCGGAGCTGTGCATACAAAAGAAGATTACTCAACCACTTCTACTCTCATGGTAACAATGTTTTGATTTATTTTGAGCTTTTATTTTTATTTTGATGACTTAATTTTGTTTCTTCGCCTGTTCCTTAATTGCTTATAATTCTTGTATTCACTTAAATCTCTTACATAGTTTCGTATTATCTACTTTGTTTCTATGTGCATCCTGAGTAAAACTCACTCATCAAACTATTCATATTATTATTGCATAACTTCTTTTAACAACTGTTTGTGACAACTCATCACCTTTGTTACTACCCTAGCACTTAATGGTCTTGACTTATATTACCAACCTTTACCTGTTTAGTTAAAATAACCTTAAGCAATTACAATTCTTGTATCCACTTAGATCTCTTACATAGTTTCGCATTATCTACTTTGTTTCTATGTGCATCCTGAGTAAAACTCACTATTATTATTACAACTGTTTGTGACAACTCATCATTTTTTTACTACCCTAGTTTCATTAGCACTTAATTTTCTTGACCTGTATTACCATCCTCCACTTGTTTAGTTAAAAGTAACCTTAACCAATTGTAACTTTGTTTGACAAACTTAATGTACACATACATACAAAACAATGCATATATATTTGCGATTGTACAGCTAAGAAAATGAATTCGCCGAAAAGAGACTCTTCGCTGATCTACGTGATTTGTTTTCATTAATACTGCATTTAGTGTCTTTGACCTGCTCTTGTGGAGTCGATTATATTGGACGATGTAAGCGTTACCTCCGAAAACGTGTAGCTGAACACTATCCGGTTTGGTTAATGAAAGGCGAACGTAGAACTGCAAAAGTCATCTATTTTTGATCACCTGTTAGAGTCTGGTCATTTAGCCCCACGTGATTCATCTTTCAAAGTTATCTACATGGCAAAATTGAATCGATCCAAAAGTTTACGTTTTCTTCACTTATGCATAGCTAGCCGAAGCTTTAGCTAGATATACATGAACAGAAACCTAAATTATGTATTCAAAAGCGTTTTGTGTCAAACCCCTTTCTTTACCTTGGTCATAATAATGTTCTTTCTAGTTTTTTTTTTATTTTACCAATTGAATTCACTCCACTCCACTTCACATCGTTATTCTTATCGTAATCGTATACCTAATTTTTAAAATTTTTAGACAACGCTTGACATTTTTCTTTTAAAAATATTTTTCGTATCAATTCACTTATAAAACAATCTTTAATATTTTTGTAATTTAGCCACTTCAGCTCTACCCCTTATAACATTTTAATTATCGTTATTCTTATCACTTACATATGTACATTGACTGAGCAATTATTAAGTGCCACTTAATAACTTTTTCTGTAATATAAGTAAATACGGCTGTACAGCTTGAAAATGAAGTCGTTGAAAAGAAATTTTTTCGCTGAACAAAAAAAATCTAAGGTAACCTTGAAAAGATTGATATTCGTGTAGCTGATGATGCATTTTTGAAGGTGAACCAAAAAGAACTTGATTTATGGCAAGATTTGAAACAGCAGTCCAGGAATCACTACTAACCTAGAGCTTTGTTTAATAAATAATGAGTGACTACTACATACACCCAGGTGTTAAACAGGTTTTCAATTCATGGAAATCATCTCCAATAGTTTCGCTAAGCTATCATACATAACAGACATTCAGTTGAAAGTCCCCACATACAGGCCGCTATGTTTGGCGTGAGATTTGCACTAATCAAATCGAAGATGATGCTAAAAGAGATTGAACTACATCGGCTCTTAGTCTTAAGATAGGGAGTGTGAAGTGATTGATGGGGGGGGTGCCAGCCACTTCACTTACTTGGGAACTTCCATCAGCCCCCCCCCAAATGGTCGAAGAAGCTACCGGCGAAGACAGAACTCCAGGTGAACATAGACAAGACGGAGGTTATGAAAATAACCAATCAACAACAGCAACAACATCCAGAGCCAATTACCATCAGCGGGAGGAATTTGAAAGAGTTCACTTCATTCACTTACATATCTAGGGAGTATTGTCTCAACTACAGGAGGAACGGACGAGGTTGTCAAATCGAACGAGAATCGGGAAGGCGACGAACACATTCATCAACCAACTGAAACCAATCTGGAAATCTTCGTCACTCATCTCAGCATCAACAACAAAATTCAGTCGGATTTTTAATACAAACAACGTCAAGTCAGTCAGTTCTTCAATATGGATGAGAAACTTGGCGGGCGGGTCACAAAGAATATTTCCAACAGCCTGTTGCAGACCTTCATCAACCAAAAACTGTCTTCGCTGGCTCTATAGTGAAGATCAGATGGCCGGGCAGGAAAGAATCACCAATTATTGGAAACTATGCGAACAAACAAAACAAGAACCAATCGCCAACCAACAAATATGCAGGAGGAAGCGGAGATGGATTGGACACTCTCTGAGGAGGCCACTGGGTGACATCGCGCGGGCGTCAGGCCATTGCTCGAGTGGAACCAGGCCGAAAGGAAAGCACGTGGCGAGTGGGACGTCAGTGCAAGGGTGATATGGAGGAGATCGTGTGTAGAGGAGTTGAGACAGTATGGACTGACATGGATGAAGGTGAAAAGTACAGCAGAAGCAAGTGGAGATGTGCAGCTGAAGCCCAATGTTCCACTAGGAACCCAAGGGAACAATAATAATAACAATAATCAGCCCTAATGGACAGATTGCTAAGGAAATCTTAGCAAGGATACAGAAAGCTCGTATGGGATCTGCCAAGTTACGCCATCTCTGGCTTATAAGACATGATATCCAGCTGCCTATCAATCAGAGGATTGCTCAGTGAAGCAGTTCGCTTTGTACTCCTCTATGACTGTGACGCATGGCCAGTGAAAGTAGAAGACATGGAAAGGCCAGCTAGCTGTCTTTGATCATACGTGCCTACGTTCTATCTCTCATGTTATGCGGTACAATGGGGTGAGTAATACTGATGTTAGGCCTCGAATGTTAGGTAAGGAGGAGAAACCAATCGATGCGGTTCTGAAGCTACATCCACTCACATGGCTAGGATACGTACTGTACATGTCTAGCCATCACCTTCCATGACAAGCAATGTTAGCTGACATAGGGTCAGGGTGTTGGTGATCAAACCAAAACATGACTTCATCAGTCATTGAAATTCATAACAGTTAATTTGACCCTAGCAGGAAGGTTAGTGTCCACGGGATATGGTTCAAAACTATCATTCTCAATGGTGAACAGATGCATTCACTATGCGTAATCTGTCATATCTACTTAAACCCTATTCTGTCTGTCTGTTTTCGACATAGAACTTTGCACAAATGTGCGGAAGTTCAAGTCGCCACATTCCGTGTAGCACGCGAAGCAAGAGAAGAAAGTACAAGAAAAGCATAATAGAAACAGTGAGCAGAGGTGTGAGACAAAGGAGAGATAAAGAAATACAAAACAGTTTCATTGAAGATCATAAGTCACAAGGAGTGGATGCATCTGCGCCAGCCAGTGAGAACGATTTTGAGCCATGTCACCAATTGTTTCCAACCATAGATTTTTACCGTCTCGAGGACCCCAGCCTGGAAGTCTACACCTTCCTACGTGGCTGGCTTAGACCAACTGTTGTGGATTTCATTGACTGGTGAGGCCATGTTTTTGTTTGACCTCCGCTAGCTTTTTTCCAGCCTGACCCTATATCCGCTAACATTGCTCGTCGAGGGAGGCGATGGCTTGGCATACGTAACACATGTCCTAACCATCTCAGTCTTTGTAACTTCACGACTTCGTCGGTTGATTTCCCCTGTTTACCTAGAACTCGACCGAAGCCTTACCTCAATATTGCTCACCTTATTATGCCACTTTACACGGGAAATAGAGCGCAGGCACCTATGATCAAAGACAGCTAGTCTTTTCATGTCTTTCACTCTCAGTGGCCAGGTCTCACAGCTGGCCATAAAGGAGGACGGAGCGGACTGATGAGCAGTACACCCGCCCTTTGTTCGATAGTCGAACTTAAACCCTATTGAGAAGTTCTGTGTTGAAACGAGTCAGTCAGACACAGACTGCTGTCGAACAGGATCCTTTTTTCGAAAAAAGCTAGAAGAACATATTGATAAGGAGGATAAAGCGATTGATTTCATTATACTTCTTCGTTGGCGCTCGTTAGCTGTACGCAGAGCTGCTAACTATCTTAATATCAATATGCCTTACTTATTGATCATAAAAGTAAGGGGATATTAATTTCACCACATGATTAAATAGCATATTTGGGTGGGAGAGGGGCGGAGGGAATAAAACTCGTTGTTAGGCTCCTTAGTACGTATATAATTATGATTAAAGAATATCCCAAAAATTACGAACGAATGTGTTACAGGTTGAGTAAGAGCATAAAATCAACACTATACTTCTGCAAGATGTCCAGAACCCAGGTACGGCCAAGAATATAGATGAAAACAAACAATTTGCATCTGAAAGATGAAAAAGTCCTCAATAGACAGAAAT